TAAAATGTCTATACTACCCCAAGAATATACAGATTCAGTGCAATCACTATTAAAATTCCAATGACACTATTCACGGAAACGAACAATACAATTCTAATGTTTTTAAGGAACCACAGAAAAACCCAAACAGCCAAAGCTATACTAAGAAAGAAAAATAAAGTTGGAGGCATCACACTTCCTGAATTAAAATTATACCACAAAGCTATAGTAATCAAAACAGTAAGGTATTGGCATAAAACAGAAACAGACCAATGGAACATAATACAGAGCTCAGAAATAAATATAAATATATACAGTCAATGAATTTTTGACAAGGTCACCAAGAAGACACAATGGGGAAACACTAGTCTGTTTAAAAAATGGTGCTGGGAAAGTTGGATTTCCACATGCAAAAGAATAAAATTGGACCCTTATGCCATACACAAAAACCAACAGAAAGTGGATGAAAAACCTACATGTAAGATCTAAAAGCATAGAAATCCTAGAAGTGAACATAAAAATAAAGCACTTGGACATTCACTGCCCTTGGCAATAATTTTTTAAAAATATACTAAAAGCTCAGGCTACAAAATAAAAAATAATAAAATGGGACTATATGAAACTAAAAAGGCTGAACAGCAAAGGAAACAACACAATGAAAGGGCAACCAATGGATTGGGAAAAATATATGCAAATTACATTCTGATAGAGTTAAGTATTTTAAAGTTATAAATAAAACACAAGTCAATGGCAGAAAGACAAATAACCTAATTTAAAAATAGACAAAGGACTTAGACAGTTATCCAAAGAATATATAAAAATGGCCAATAGGCATATGAAAATGTGCTCAACATAAATAATCACCTCAGAAATGCAAACTGAAACCACGATGAGATAACACTTCATATCCATTAGGATGACTATCATCAAAAAGTCAAGAGACAACAAATGTTGGCAATGATGTAGAGAAAGGCACACTGTTGGTGAAAATGTAGAGTGGTGCAGTCATTACGGAAAACAGTATGGAGGTTCCTAAATAAATTAAAAATAGAACTACCATATGATCCCACAATCCCTCCTCTGGGCATATACTCAAAGGGAATGAAATCATTACCTCATAAAGATATCTGTACTCTCATATTCACAGTGATATTTTTCACAATACCAAAATATGGATACAACCTACATGTTTGTAGATGGACAAATGGATAAAGAAAATGTGGAATATGTATATATGTGTATATGTATGTGTGCATATATATAACATATTTAATATACACATTATATACGTGTGTGTGTGTGTGTGTGTGTGTGTGTGTGTGTGTGTGTATAAAGAAAGAATGGAATATTAGCCCAAAAAAAGAATGGCGTCCTGCTATTCGGTACAACATGGATGGACAAGAAGGGCATTTTGTTAAGCAAAACAAGCCAGATACAGAAAGAAAAATATTGCATATTTTTTTAAGAAGGTCAAATATACGGAGTATAAAATAGTGGTTACAGGTGTCAGGTTGGGGGATGAAATGGGAAAGTATAGGTCAAAGGATACAAAGTAGTAGATACGTAGGATGAACAAGTCTAGAGATTTAATGTACAACAGAGCACTACAGTTAATAAAATTAAAGATTTTAAAGTAGATTTTAGCTGCTCTTATCAAAAAGCAACAATGTGAGATGATAAATATGTTACTTTGCTTTCTTCTAGTAATCATTTTGCTATGTATATTTCATAAAATCATATTGTAAACTTCAAATATACACAATAAAACTTAGCTTTAAAAAAAGCTATTGTGGCCAGGCACAGTGGCTCATGCCTGTAATCCCAACACTTTGGGAGGCCAAGGCAGCTGGATCACCTGAGGTCAGGAGTTCGAGACCAGACTGGCCAGCGAAACCCTATCTCTTCTAAAAATAAAAAAAATTAGCCAGGCGTGGTGGCACATGCCTGTAACCCCAGCTACTTGGGAGGTTGGGGCAGGAGAATCACTTGAACCTGGGGGAAGAGTTTGCAGTGAGCTGGGATGGTGCCACTTCACTCCAACCTGGGAGACAGAGTGAAACTCCATCTCAAAAAAAAAAAAAAAATAGCTATTGTTTCATATAGCTTTAAGCCAAAGTATGTTTCTAAAGTCTCTTTAAAAAGATTATACAGCTGGCTATGAGAGTTGGCTCTACCTAACTACTAAGTGTATCATGCAGAAAAACATATAAATACATCTCCTTCCTCTTTCTAGTATTATTCATATGATCAAAAAATAAATATTATTTTCAAGATACTTTCCTACTTATGACAAACTTCTTAGGTGATAATGACTTCATTAATTAGGTTTGCATCTTCAAAAACAGTTTCAAGATTTCATAGAAAGCTCCATTTGTAAAACACCTATTTTATTTTTGTCTTTGAGATTTTATTTTATTTTATTTTATTTATTTATTTTTGAGATGAAGTCTCACGCTGTTGCCCAGGCTGTACTGCAGTGGCACAATCTTGGTTACTGCAGTCTCCGCCTCCTTGCTTTAACCAATTATCCTGCCTCAGCCTCCTGAGTAGCTGGGACCACAGGTGTGCACCATCATGCCCATCTAATTTTTTTGTATTTTCAGTAGAGACAGGGTTTCACCATGTTGGCCAGGATGGTCCCGATCTCCTGACCTCGTGATCTGCCTACCTCAGTCTCCCAAAGTGCTGGGATTACAGGCATGACTCACTTCACCCAGATGAAATTTTATTTTCATTTCTAATATAAGTTAAACAGGAAAATCTGGAACTCCCAAGAATTTGAATTTCGATTGAGACAATGAACGTAACATTTCTAGAGTAATCAAAGATGTATGAGAGGTTGCATACAGACCTTGCTTTAGGGAAGAAATGTTGTGAGGAGGAAAATCATGTTACACTCTCTTCTGTAGAGTTTTGAATGAAGGACTGCAGTTGCCACGGAGGCTAAATCTCAGAAGGAATGACCAGGTTCTTTTAGAAGCTGCTTCTGTTTTTCAGCAAAGACCATCTGCTGACATCCCCAAACCCCAGTAGCTGACTGCAATGCCAGTCAAGACGTGAAAGACTGTTAACGTTTGCTGTCTCCATTTCTTCTCCCTCTACCAGGACTGAATCTGGGGCAGGTGTGGACAGGGAAGCAGAAAAATCTTGTTGAAAGCTGTGAATTATCCTGATTCTGGGCTAAGCATATGAGTGTCTTAGAGGAGCTCCTTTCTTTCCTAAGGCCTTCCAAGTGGGATGAAGAGATTCTGATAAGAACCAAACAGGCTGCAGTGAATCTGCATTGCTAGGAGTAATGCCAGAAATTTCAAGCTCAGATTGAAATCTTTGTTTGTAATAGTTTTCTTTCCTTGTGAGCGAATTTCCCCTTAATTAATCAGGAGGGATTATTCTTCTCAGCATTGCTGGCCCTCAGTAAATGTTATCAGATGTGGTTGAATTCTAGAAACACCTCTGACAGATTTGTAGATCAAGTATTAAGTCACTTCCCAATGTTTTTTAATCCTAAGAGGTAAATAACCCACATGATGAAAAACTATCAACTAGTTTTTCCAAAATAAGTGTCTATCTGAAATAATTAACGTTTATACTTTTCTGTGCTCTTAAACAGCAGTTTTCAATCAGTATGGTTAACTGCATGCAAGACTGAAGGAAAGAAAATAGTTTTAAAGCCAACAGAACTGTTGAATGAAAAAAATTCTGTCTTACTTTAAGAAATTTTTCATTGCTGAGCCCTGGACATTTTTACTTGGTTTAATACACTGCATAGATGTTTCTTTTTCTGTCCACATTCTTGTCTTTCCAGTCCTTTCAAAAAATACTATCTTTCAGTCTCTGGAATTTGAGACCAGCCTGGGAAACATAGGGAGACCTCATCTATACCACAAACAAACAAACAAACAAATAAAAAACCCCGAAACAATTAGCCAGGCATGGTGGCTCAGGCCTGTAGTCACAGTTACTTGGGAGATGGAGACAGGAGGATTACTTGAGCCCAGGAGGTCAAGGCTGCAGTAAGCCATGATCACACCACTACACTCCAGTCAAGGGACAGAGCAAGACCTTATCACAGAAAAATGAAACAAAGAAACAAAAACACAACAAACCAAAAACCAAAGGGCAGGGTTAGGCAGGGGAAGGCAGGGGTGGGCAGGGGTGGGGACAAGAAGTGAGCTACCAATAGCACTCATTCATTCAATCCATAGAATTTTGTCCTTAGATGATCTTTTAAAACAAAATATTTGAAAAGATGTGTTCCAATAATAATTTTTAAAATTCAACGTGTATGCAGGTTTTAAAGACATTTTTAAATGATTGGACCAAAATTTTGACTGTCTTCTTGTATTTTAGTATGCATTATCTATACAATAGTTCAAAGCTGGGACCAGAAAGTAATTAGTCTCTATCTTGACTTTGGTCTTTCTCTTATTTGGGCTTCAATTTTCTCATCTGGAAAATGAAGGTTGGATAAGCACATTTTCTGAGATCTATTTCTAATGGAGTTGAATGAAAAAGAAAAAAATGTAGGATCTTTGATAACTGGAATAAAAGGAGGCAAAAGCTTTGAATGACACAGATGTGGATTTGAATCTCAGGTATTTTTAGTTGCAGGAAGTTAGATTTTATTTTATTTAGCTACACAGTGGAACTAATTAGGGGTTATACCTGTTGGGGTTAAATGGGAACAATCCTATAATCTTCCCAGCATAATGTGTACACATATTGTATGTACCTAGAAATGGCAGGACCACATTAAGGTCAAAAAATCATAAGGCTGAGCACATGACTCAATCCAGTAATTTCCACTTTGGCACTTGGAGGAGAAAGAAAGTGAGCGTATCACTGTCCCTTACCAGCAGAGATGTCCCTCTGCTGTGATGAAATTGGAGCTGTCATGATTTATAAAAAGAACACCGTCAGGGCAAAGGCGCCACATCTTGGCAAGAAATGCTTCACATAGTTTCCATCGTCACCAAGCTCTCCTTCCCACCCCACACCCTGCTTCTATTTAAATCCCAGGCACTCTACTAGGCCACACTCATTTTAGCCAGTGCCCAGGCTATCAGCAGAGAAAAGACAGGTGGGTAGCATGGCTCCAGGCGAAAAGGAAAGGGAGGAGGGCCCAGCCAAGAGCGCCCTCCGGAAGATACGCACAGCCACCCTGGTCATCAACTTGGCCCGAGGTTGGCAGCAGTGGGCGAATGAGAACAGCACCAGGCAGGCCCAGGAGCCTTCAGGCTGGCTGCCGGGAGGGATCCAGGACCCACCCCAAGCTCCTAAACCAATCACATGCCCTACTCCACACCGGAAAGCTCAGAGTGTCCCAAAGTCGCCACCCCAAACGCCAGAAGGACATGGAGATGGACAAAGCTCAGAGAAAGCCCCTGAGGTTTCTCACATCAAAAAGAAAGAGGTGACCAAAACAGTGGTCAGCAAGGCTTATGAGAGAGGAGGGGACGTGAGCCACCTCAGCCACAGGTACGAGCGGGATGCTGGTGTGCCTGAACCAGAGAATGACATTGACAGAATCCTCCACAGCCACGACTCCCCAACACGGAGGAGAAAGTGTGCCAACCTGGTGTCTGAGCTGACCAAAGGCTGGAGAGTGATGGAACAGGAGGAGCCCACAGGGAGGAGTGACAGCATAGACACAGAGGACAGCGGCTATGGAGGAGAGACCGAGGAGAGGCCGGAGCAGGACGGAGTACAGGTGGCCGTAGCTAGAATCAAGCGCCCCTTGCCCTCCCAGTAAGTGATCGCATCCTTCCCACTCCCTGTATCAGGATCACTACTGAGTCCCAACCAACTCTGTAAATCCAGGCAGCAGGCGAGGTCCTGCCAGAGTTAGAGTGAGTATCTCAAAGACTGGGGAGGCAGTGAGTTCCGTAGAGGAGGCATGTCCCTGAGCTGAAGGTCAGTGCCAACCTTAGACATGGGCCTTTTGGTCAGGGCCTGCGCTATTTTATTTCTCCGTTTTGTTTTGAACTGAACACCCAAATCTTAGCCTCAACGAAGATGAAGCCATCAGAGAGGGATGCCTGTTTTGCGCGAACTCTTTAAGTCATTTCTATAATGAGTAACAAATTGGCTTATTTCCTTAGAGATAAGGGTGGTTTCTGGTAGACTCATTGGGAAAATTTTACCTTGTCCCAACTGTCTATGCTATTATCAGGAGATATGTCTGCTTCAGTAACACCCATGGAATATAGATCTCTATGACTCTAAACAGGTGGCAGGCTGCTGTCTAATTTGAGAGCAGGCTCTGAATGAAGTCAGACAGACCCAAGTTCAAATCCCAGTTCTGCCCCTAACTAGTCCTTTTTAAAGTTGATTTCCTTGGCTGGGCACAGTGGCTCACACCTGTAGTCCCGGCACTTTGGGAGGCTGAGGAGGGCAGATTACCTGAGGCCAGGAGTTCAAGTACCGGCCTGACCAACATTGGTGAAACCCCTTATCTACCAAAAATGCAAAAAATTAGCTGGGCATAGTGTTATGCATGTGCAATCCCAGCTACTTGGGAGGCAGAGCATGAGAATCGCTTTAACCCAGGAGGATGATGTTGCAGTGTGCCAAGATCATGCCACTGCACTCCAGCCTGGACAACAGAGCAAGACTCTGTCTCAAAAAAAAAAAAAAAAAGCTGATTTCTTCATTTGTAAAATGACAGCAACAGTCAGCTTTTGGGAGAAGTTCTGTTGTACTGGGAAATGTAAATGAGATTAGGGCTACCAAGCACAGAGCTTGTCACATGCTCAGTACATGAAAACCATTATTATTCACATAGATTTGGGTACTTTGCAACTTTTCAAATTTTCAAAAACAGTTTGTCCTATTTGTAAACAAAGAGAAATAATTAAAATATCTGGATGCTAGATACGCATACACACACTCACACACACACTGATGCAAACTGAAACATTTATATAGACAAGACACATGCTTTTTTTCAAGACAGTAGCTCCACATAGTAGAAAGTCAGGATTTCTTATTCCACAGTGCAAGGGTATCAAAATATAAGAAACAAGTATCTGATGTCATTACACTTATAGACTGACTCCCATTGGGAACAGTTCGATGTATAAGTGTGTTTTTGAAGTCTTATGAAACAATAAGAAAATAAAGAAAAAATAATGGTTACCTAATTTGACAAAAAGCTGTCCTTTTTTTTTGAGATGAAGTCTCACTCTGTTGCCCAGGCTGGAGTGCACTGGCACGATCTTGGCTCACTGCAACCTCCGCTTCCTGAGTTCAAGTGATTCTCTTGCCTCAGCCTCCTGAGTAGCTGGGATTACAGGTGCACACCACCATGCCCAGCTAATTTTTGTATTTTTAGTAGAGACAGGGTTTCACCATGTTGGCCAGGCTGGTCTCAAACTCCTGACCTCAGGTGATCCACCCACCTTGGCCTTGCAACGTGCTGGGATTACTGGCATAAGCCACCACACCCGGCCTAAAGAGCTATCTTATAGTTTGAGACTGTAAAGGTGTTTTGAAAGAATTAGAACTGCTACAGTGCAAGCTTTCAAGAAAAATAAAATGGCAAATGGGTAATTACAATAATCCGTCATGTGTTTAGTGTGTGCTGTAGGTGTTTAAATGCTTTGTCTCTTTACTTCTCATAATCTTCTGAGGTAGCTATTCACTCATTTCAGGAATAAAAACACCGAAGCTCAGAGGGGAAGTTTGCCTAGCAAGTTAATGACAAAGTTAAGACTTGCCCTACTCCAAACGCAAGTTAAAGACAAAGCTAAGACCTGCCCTACTCCCAATGCAATGTTTTACAACCAGACGTGCTAATTCTCATGCAGTGTCTTGAGGATACATTCAGAGGTCTGGATTTGTGCTTAATATAGGAGTTCATGATCAGAAGTAACTATGCTATCACAACATGAGGAGCAATATTCCAAATTCTGACCTGCGGATTTCGGGACATGTGTGCCACAAATGGAGTAATGGAGTCCAAAAGAATAAAGCCTGAGGGGGCACAATGACAAGATCTTTCTTTTAGCAGGTTTTAAATTAACCAGAGGTAGGGAGGTGACAGCTGGGACCGATCCTGAATGCATAGCAGAGCTAGACATTTTGGGGCACTTGTCTAAGCACTTTTCAAATATTTATTTATTTACTCCCACAATATGTGCATATGATAGGTTATAATCATCATCGCTCTTTGATAGATGGAGACACGAGACGAAGAAATATTAGGGAATTTGTATGAGATTTTATAGTCCATGAGATTTGAACGCAGTCATTCTGGCTCCAAGTCAACTGTCTCACCTAAAAGTGGGGAGTGGGATATAGGACTCTTCTCAGGGTTCCCCAAACCAGTCCGGTACATGGACACCTTCTTAGCATGTTGAAATGCCTACGCATTGAATAAGCGATAATTTGATTTGAATCATGGTTACTTTGGTAATCCTGAGTCTCTGTATACTCATCTAAAAAACAGATGTGATATCTGATAGTTCACAGGGTTATTTTTATCTTTTGAGAAGAAGTCTTGCACTGTCACCTGGGCTGGAGTGCAGTGGCACTATCTTGGCTTACTGCAACCTCCACCTCCCAGGTTCAAGCCATTCTCCTGCCTCAGCCTCCCAAGTAGTTGGGATTACAGGTACCTGCCAACACACTCAGCTAATTTCTTATTTTTAGTAGAGATGGGGTTTCACTATGTTGGCAAGGCAGGTTTCAAGCTCCTGACTTCATGATTGGCCCACCTTGGCCTCCCAAAGTGCTGGGATTACAGGAATAAGCCACCGTGCCTGGCCTTCATGGGGTTATTTTTATATTACCTATGTAAAGTGATAGACTCAGAGGAGGTCGTTAGTAAGTTGTACCCATTATAGCCCTTCAAGATGCTAGGAGCTTGGCTCTGTAGGTTCAGTGGCAGTGGCGGCTAAATCTCTTCTTTCCTTCTTTGGTTCCTTTCCCTCAGTCTTGGAGTACGTAGGGTACCAGAATGTTGTATGCAGCAACAGCAGCTCTTAATTCCAGTGGTAATCCTAGCTGTGCTCAGGAAACTTCAGCAGAAGCCTCGTGGGAATTTTTGACCAATGAGACTCTCAAATATTGCTTGAGAAATGAAAGCAGCATTACCAAGCCAATTTGGAAAGACTTTTTGTTCACTGATTTTTAATTATAGGCACCATTCTCTCCCTGTATCTGCCAATAAGGAGGCAGCTATGTATCGTGGATATTTAGGTGGAAAGTTTCTTGGTGGTTAAGATATTCCATGGATAATAGAAACAAACAGATCAACTGGGAAAACAGTAGATAAATTCTTTACCAACAGTGGTTTTTCCAACTGGGGTTTTACTATAAAAATGGTTTACATTTTGTCTCACTTTAAAAATATTTAGTCTTTTGATTGTGTGTGACTTGTTCAATCCAGTTCCTTTGGACAAAAATTAGATCTTCCTCCCATAAAAGTGCAAGACTAACGTACCAATCACTTATCCATCCTGTGCCCCATGTTTAATTCAGTGAAAATAATAGCAGTTGAGCAGGAGACTGCCATTTTATAAATAAGGAAACTGGCACACAGATACATTACGAAACGAATAATCCAAGTCACAGAATGAGGAAGTGGTGAAGTTGGGAAGGCTGATGCCAGTGCTTGTGTTCTTAACCACTGCACTAGACTATCTCTCTCAGTAGAGAACAGGCTCAAGGAATAAAGTGGAGTTCAAAATGTTGGCTTAATTAATAAAGTCGCAGTAACTCCCAAAATTCAGGGGTTTGGTGCAACTGTATTGAAGGACTTCACAAGAAACAAAGACAAAATTATGCTGTCCTTCTGCATATGCCCAATTCTAGGGCCACGAATCCTTTCCATAAACTCTGAAGACAGTTCAGTCTGCAAGGAGAATCACAGGCCCGGCTCTCAAACGGAGCTGATAATGACAGGCAGCAAAACTGCTGAGCAGAAATGTCCATATTGCCTTTTGAATGCTGTCACCCTGCTTCTGATAAATATGCTCCTCTTGATGTCATGCTCTCAGTAATCAAATGGGCTAAACTGTCTGTAGGGAAGGACAAGCAAACCAATGCAGCATTTCTCTGAGACGTCCGAAAGGGTACAGACGTTCTTTGCTTTACTGACGGGAGGGTGCCTGTGTGAGGAGGTGAAATGCTCCCTCTACAGGAACATCTATGGAGTGGAAAATGAGAGCCCGTCTTCACTTTCTCCATACACATTGGAAACAGAAGAGAAAACCTCTAGGCCCCCAGGCATTTTGAAGCTAGTGATTCAGGTGAAGGGCAACCACTAGAAAATGTTTTCAGTGCCAGTGAACTTATTGGATTTGAAATATATCTTTTAGAACTCTTATTTCCTGTGGATTTTACTACATATATGATAATTTACCCATATAATTATTACTCCAAAACACAGAATTATGATAAAATTGGTTCCCATCATCTCCTCATGCTGTTGAAGAGCCTCATTGAGATAAAAAATAAATTTCAGAGTTTATTTCAGTAAATGAAGCTAGACTTTCCTAGATAGATTATTGGTAACATCTAGTAGAATTAGTTATGTTGAACACAGCAAGACAGGGGATAAATTTTTATTGACTATAAGAAATTTTGTTTACTAATAATGAAGAAACTCAGAAGATGGGTCTGGATTTAGTATTGCTATCCTAAAATATGGGCAAGATGTTAGTCTTTAAATATTGCTTTGCTTTCTTTCAATTTATGCTAGGTTATCTTTCTAAAGCTCAATCTAAACTATCATTCACATTTTCCCCTGAAAAATTTAAAAACAACATAATCTGGTATTGATTCTTATTGTATTTATTGAACAAAAAAAATTTTAGTGTATAAGGCTTTCTAACCCTGACTTAAACACAATATACTTTCAGACCTTTTAAAAATTGGAGATATAAAAACAATAGAGAAAATTAGATGCCATTAAGATGAATTTCCTTCTTCTTTTTCTAGCCCTATTTTCTAATTCTTCCTTATAGGACCAACTTTCTTTGGTTTTCTTCCCTCGAATTAAAGGGCATTACAGTTTGAAAATATAACAAATAGACATTAATATTTAAATGGTGCTTCTTTTAGAAGATATGTATACCATATATATATATACACACACATATATGTATATATATATGTATATGATATGTATATGTATATATATGTATATGTGTATATATATATATGTGTGTGTGTGTGTGTGTGTGTGTATATATATATAAATGGAGTCTCACTCTGTCATCCAGCCTGGAGTGCAGTGTAGTGGCACCATCTCGGCTCACTACAACCTCTGCCTAACAGGTTCAAGAGATTCTTCTTCTTCAGCCTCCTGAGTAGCTGGGACCAGTAGTTGCACCACCGCGCCAACGAATTTTGTATTTTTAGCAGAGACAGGATTTCACCATGATAGCCAGGCTGGTCTCGAACTCCTGGCCTCAAGTGATCTACCTACCTCAACCTCCCAAAGTGCTGGGATTACAAGAGTGAGCCACTGTGCCTGGCCTAGAAGCTCTTCACAGATTTATTAGCACACACTAATCCCAGCTCTTATTCCAAATGACGCTGAGTTTCAGCAGTTAGGGAATCTAAGTTGTTAATTAAAAATTAGAAGGAAAAAAAAAAGCCTACACAAAGACTCAGAGTCCCATGTAACATACAGTTTAAATAAATTACCTCTGGATGCAATTTGAGTATTTACCTTTTTTTTTGCTTTGCTTTCTTTGTTACAAAATCAGTACAATACCAACATTAAAGAGAATTTTGAAAAATGAAAAGTACTGTTACCTGGATACCAACGTAATTATTTTCAATTGTGCAAATGGTATTGAATGCTTCAGCGTGGTGCTTATGCATTTTACAGAGTTGCGATTGTACCATAAACCCAAATTTGTGTTACTCTATTTTCATTATGAAATATCTAATAGGTACCTTAAAAAGTGCCTGACACACAGTAGGTATCATAAATAAATAATTCAAACCATGGGAGGGACATAAAAGTGCACAAAAACTCTTTAAAGGCAGGATGTATTAGGATTTACACAATAGGGCAGAACCACATTTGGTGCTCAGGAGACAAAGTATGAGTTAATAAATCACACTATTCACTTGAATTTGAGATATTTCAAGCCTCTTCTCTGGCAGGACACTTCAGCTGTTAAATCTGGCAAGAATTTTAGGCTCTGCCAAGATGGCCACAGACTTGATATTGAGGAACATGCCTTTGATCAGCATGGTGATCAGTCATTGGGAGGCCGAGGCAAGTGGATCATGATGTTAAGAGATCAAGACCACCCTGGCCAACATGGTGAAACCCTGTCTCTACTAAAAACACAAAAATTAGCTGGGCATGGTGGCATGAACCTGTAGTCCCAGCTACTTGGGAGGCTGAGGCAGGAGAATTGCTTGAACCTGGGAGGCGGAGGTTGCGGTGAGCCGAGATCCCGCCACAGCACTCCAGCCTGGCGCCTGTCTACAGAGTGAGACTCTGTTTAAAAATAATAATGAGATCAAGCAGCCCACACTGAGGGCAGCTGAACAGGGAAAGCTGATGGAGAGGCAGAGGATCAACTGACGAGGGCTGAGGGAAATCCATTGCACTTCAGCCTGCTGAGCTCCTAGCACTTTTTCATACATATATTTTATAAAGTTGCAATGATTGTGAATACGGTTGTTGTGTGCTGTTTTTTACTAATTACCTTCGTCATACACTTTTATCTATATATGTATAAAGGATAGTAGTGTTATATGTAGTATTTCCAATTCCAATTCTATCCTCCTATGAAACAATGTAGCAAGCATAGGACTTTGGGAAACACCAAGCATAAGAATTAATGAAAGTTCGCCATCTAGTGGATGTCATTCGGTTTTTGAAAACAATCTGAGGTTGTAACAGCCCTGTCTATATCTGTTTGGTTCCAGCTTTTGGGGAACCAGATTTCAGGAAGTGAGTTTGGATGGTGAGGGACACACAAATCTGATTGGCTCCTGGGTTCTGAATAGCAAATTGTGAGTTCGGATAGCTCAGGCATGCCATTCACACAAGTACTTTCAGCACAACTTGAACATCTCCAATCCCAATGCTTCCAGGCATGAGGCCACTTGGTGTTGGGGAGAAAAAGGAAAGGTGGGACACTTGCAAGGGTGAGGAGTACAAATCTCTTTCAGAGAGTCCAAGAGTTTTTTTACCTGTGAAGGCAAAGAGACTGAGGGAAAAAGTCTAGGCAATTGGAGATAGAGTCTTTTGAAGTTCTAGGATACAGATGCAGGATGTGCAGGTTTTATTGTATAAGAAAATGTGTGCCATGGTGGTTTGCTACCCCTATTAACCTGTCATCTAGATATTAAGCCCCACATGCATTAGCTATTTATCCTGATGCTCTCCCTTCCCCCAACCTCCCAACAGGCCCCAGTGTATGTTGTTCCCCTCCCTGTGTCCATGTGTTCTCATTGTTTAGCTCCCATTTACAAGTGAAAACATGTGGCATTTGGTTTTCTGTTCCTGTGTTAGTTTGCTGCCCCATCCTAGTATTAGGCTGCATTCTCATGATACTACTACACTCTCCAGAGTTGGTTTTTTTATTGTTTTTTTTATATAAGAAAATGCATTCTGAATTCCTAGGATACATACATTTAAAATGCAACATATTCCTTTATTAGACACCGTATGGGCCTGCTGAGTGGCATCACTGCATAGTAGAAAGGGCATTGACCTTCGTCTCAGGCAGTCTTGCATTTGAATCCTTCCCCTGCCACCTATTTAGGGCAGTATTTCATAGTTATAGACAGGTTCTGGAGCCAGCTTACCTTTGGTTCAAAGTCTAGTTCTACCGCTTAACGGTTCTGTGACTTTAAGCAGTTACTTCATCTCTCTGGCCTCAATTTCTTCATTTGTGAAGTAGGAATTACTATCTCAGGGAATGGTTGTGGGGAATATTAATAAAAAGTTTTTAGAAGAATGTCAGTACATAGTGTTCAGTAAATGTTACTACTGCTAGTGTTTTCTGTGTACAACTTAGTATTCCAAAGTTTCTAGTAGATCATTGATACTAGTCTATATATGCCATCATTGAAACATCCACATATGAAAATCTGTATGACTAAATATTAAAATGCATGTGTAGTGGTATAGTCCTTACCTGTGGGAAATAATTGGTTTCAGAGGTCCTCTAAGAACTAGGTTCCCATGAAAACCTACACAATTCCAGTTCTAAAATGTTACTAATACTCAACTGTAAGACATACACACTTGTATTAATTTTGTGTTAGGTTTTTTTCTTAAAATGGAGCTTAATGTAACTATAATGCTTAAAATATTGTTCATAGAGAAAACAATCTAGAAACTATGCACCAAACTAAGAATAATGGTGGGACTATGTATGACTTTTCTTCTTTCATTTCTATTTTTTTATATTGTTTATTTTTGTAGTGAAAAAAAATTATACTTATGTTAAAAGATGCGTATGCGTGGGAAGTACAAAGGGAAAACAACATTTGGTGTTAAAATATCTGTATCTTGATTGTTCACCCTTTCTCTACTTTAGGGTAAATAGATTTACAGAGAAACTCAACTGCAAAGCCCAACAGAAATACAGCCAAGTGGGCAACTTGAAAGGGAAATGGCAGCAGTGGGCTGATGAACACATACAATCCCAGAAGCTCAATCCTTTCAGTGAAGAGTTTGATTATGAGCTGGCCATGTCCACCCGCCTACACAAAGGTGATGAGGGCTATGGCCGCCCCAAGGAAGGAACCAAAACCGCTGAAAGGGCCAGGCGCGCTGAGGAGCACATCTACAGGGAAATCATGGACATGTGCTTCATTATCCGCACGATGGCTCGCCACAGACGAGATGGCAAGATCCAGGTTACATTTGGAGATCTCTTTGACAGATATGTTCGTATTTCAGATAAAGTAGTGGGCATTCTCATGCGTGCCAGGAAGCATGGACTGGTAGACTTTGAAGGAGAGATGCTATGGCAAGGCCGAGATGACCATGTTGTGATTACGCTACTCAAATGAACTTTCAGAAACAAAAGCCAAATTTGGCCCACTGTTGTCTTAATGCTAAATGCTCATGTATGTAAAAAGAAAATGCAAACTCTCTGTAATAAGTTAGTAAATATTAAACAATTTTTACATAAGTGACTTTCTTGCATTCTATTTCTAGAATGAGGAAGTTTGGGGATTTTGAGAAAGCACACACAAAGCATTTCAGAAAGCACATGTTATTAACATATAGTAATAGTATTAATGGTTGAAATTCCACAGGTTTTTTTTTTTTTTTGAGACAGGTTCTCTGTATGTCACCAAAGCTGGTCTTTTAACTCCTGGCCTCAAGTGATCCTCTCACCTTAGACTCCCAAGTAGCCGAGATTATAGGCATGAGCCACAGTACCCAGCCACTTATATTTTTAGGCAAAATATTTAGCTATTCATCGCAGAAACTACAACAGATTTTTAATTAAACATTAAATCTAAGAAGAATGCTGATTTTAGATAAATATCAGCAGAACATATAATAATGTGTCTTTATTTGGAAAAAAGAAAATTCCATTAAGTTTGGTAAAACTAAAGTTTTTCAGAAGCTTGACTTTGTATTATTGTGTATATCATAGCATCACTTACAAAACAGGCACATATAAAGTTAAGTTGTGAATATGTTGCTGAAATTGTTGAAGTTCCTCTGTGGGCTTGTATTCTAACAGGTTTCCAGTAAGAGTTCACCTTCCTTCTGTGTGATTTGCACAAATCACATAAAACCAGTCAGTTGTTGTCTTAGCACCAACAAAGAGGGCAACGTTCACTAAAAGTAGAGCAGAGGTGAGAGATTCAGTTTTACTTGCCTTTGTAGGATTTCTTGGAGTTTATTGTTTCATTACAAAACATTTATATGTCAGCATATAAATGAGTCATGCTACTTGCATTTATATCAATGCGCAATGGAGAAATACAGAAAATCTATGAAGTGGAATGTTCAGTATTAGACGAAGCCCATAGAATCATTGGTGAATCAAAAACTGATTTGAGACAATTTAATTTTCCTCGTACTATAACAAAGAAAACTTTATGAAATATCAAAAAGTCATAAAACAGCTATATTAGTTCTGCCAAAGTAAAAAATATACAGTTACTGTGATGGCAAGGAGAAAGATCATTTGACATAAATGTGTTGTCTATTTTTTTCCTTAATAGATTTAATGTGTCTATATGATCTTAAAAACAAATGGAATGGAATGTGAGACTGCAATTCTTACTGGATTCAATGAAAGTTACTAAAATGCACTGACAGTATAGCACTTTGGTGTTAAATGTAAAAGGTAAAAATATGATACCTCAAAATAATAGGTATTATTGTGCTATAAGAATTATGTTTGTTTTCATGTATGATTCTCCTTCAAACTGAAGGTTCTGATATTAAGAAAGTATGTGTATTTTATTTCCATACCATATTTATAAAGCTACAAATTAATGACCAATATTTCTAAGTAGGGTTTCACATAAGATGCACATTTCTATTATAAGTGAAACCTATGCCAAATTTTAAAGACAAATAGCACAAGAATAAAAGATGTTTTCTTATATTTTCTGTTCTTGTTTTTATAGTATTTATGGGTTATATCCCACACACTTTCTTCTGTTTGAAATACAATAAAATTATAGTGTGTAACTTAGGTTACAATATCAGTAGAATATTAAAAATAGATGAAGGTTTCGAGAGTCTCTTCATAGTCAATTCTGAATAGTAACAATTTATGCAGGCACAGACAAAGATTATTCAAAGTTCAATTTGTTTGAGTGTGAGGATGGAATAAAAGGCCTCTTTTCAGACAGCCTCTAAGACACTAACACTCTTCTGCATAAGGTCTTGCTGTAAAATCAGAAAGCTACATTCCTTAGATAAAAACACCTGCTGAGAAATAGGCACAACTTCATAAGCACTTTGTAGATAGACATCATCATAAGAGGTGTCTTGTGATACCAGCTTGTGGTTTGTAGACGTTTTTCTTACTTTATTGTATATTATTCTTTTGATGTTTTATTTAAGGCCATTTTTCATCTTAATGTTTCCTGAACTGGGATCCAAAAATATCTCCTCAACCAAATGATTATTATCCTAAAAACTCCATGAAATGAATGTCCACAGTTGAAAAACTTAGGATATTTTGACAAAAAATTAAAATAAAAAATAAGAACTCAGGTGGCAAATGAGGTAATGAAAATCCTCATATTTTTATAGTCACCAAATAATATACGAAATTACATATTTTTATCATTGATAATTCTAAATTCTCAATAACAGACAATATACAATTAATTTCTCAATCCTCAGGATTTTCCTTTTCCAACCTTTTCAATCTAGATGTTTGGAGGGTTTCCGTGCTGTACTTTATTACCCCTTCTAGCTCATAACTTGAAGTTGTGTAAGCTCACCTCATCACTCTGCCCACTTAACACTATAAGGGGGGAAGTTCTGAGCGTGGGCTTCTTTGTTCCCACACTGTTGCAAGATGAGGCTGCAACTATATTCTTGGTTTGCCTTCTGCTTTTTCCTTTCCCCTCCCAAGCTCTACTTCCTTCTTTTTCTAATCACTACTAACTGATAAAATGTAAGAATACCCAGTGCTGTTTCTCATATGACATAGAAACAATTCTGTGTAAACTAGAATTGTATGTCAATGGGAACTCATACACTGGAAAAGATGGTTGTACCTTCTCTATTAAATCACTGTTCAGGGCTTATAAGAGGAGCAGACCATCGAGTCCATAATGAAGCGATCCCTTAATGTAGATGCCCCCAGGATTCCTATTAGAACATTCTAATCTCACTCACAGTACCTAGGATATATTTTTAGTATAGGAAGCACACAGCCAATATGTTACTTAATTTAAAAATGTGCTCTATGACCTAACCTCTTAGCCTAGAGGTTTTGAGAGTACTGTGATCCATTCACCAGCTAACATTCCCATAAGGATTATCTAATTACACTGTGTGCCCACATTTGGGGGCCATGTAGTATCTAACAAAATTACATTGCATTTACTTTTTCTTTTTTTTGAGACAGAATTTTGCTCGTTGCCCAGGCTGGAGTACAATGGTGCGATCTTGGCTCACCGCAATCTCCACCTCCTAAGTTAAAGTGATTTTTGTGCCTTGGCCTCCCAAGTGGCTGGGATTAGAGGCATGTGCCACCCCAGCTAATTTTTGTATTGTTAGTAGAGACGGGGTTTCTCCATGTTGGTCAGGTTGATCTTGAACTCTCAAACTCTGGTGATTTGCTGGCCTCAGCCTCCCAAAGTGCTGGGATTACAGGTGTGAGCCACCACGCCCAGCCGCATTTACTTTTGGACCAATAAATCTCACTCCTAAAATTTTCATGGAAGATACAATTCAAGCAACATAAAAATATATATGCATAACGCATTGTGTCTTTTTAACCTAAAATACTATAAACAACCTAAAACATACAGGAAATGATCAAATCAAGTATGGCATATGCACACAATACATGTAACTATAAAAGAAAATTTTTTAAGAAAAATAGAATTTTCAGTGTCCATATATGTGTATACATTATACACAAAATCTTTTCTTTTTTTTTTTTTTTTTAGACAGAGTCTTGCTCTTTCGCCAGGCTGGAGCGCAGTGGCACGACCTCAGCTCACTGCAACCTCTGTCTCCTGGATTCAAGCGATTCCCCTGCCTTAGCCTGCTGAGTAGCCGGGACTACAGGCACATGCCACCATGCCTGGCTGATTTTTTGTATTTTAGTAGAAAGGGGGTTTCACCATGGCCAGGATGGTCTCAATCTCCTGACCTCATGATCCACCTGCCTTGGCTTACCAAAGTGCTGTGATTACTTTGAGCCACTGCGCCTGGCCCATATACACGAAATCTTATACACACACACATACACACTGTATTATACATGTGTGAATGTTTACAATGTTTATATATACACTCTATATTTTAAAAATAGAGGGTAACCAGAAATAAAATCAACTTCCTGTAGGGGTAGGTGAAAACTAAGTTGAAAGACACAGAAGAGGGATATACTTCTCAGAGTATACCTCTTTATAGGGTTCTGACTTTTGGAAATGTAAATATTATACATGCAATAAAGTAAAATTCAATAAAAGTAGGAGAAAAAATAAAATTGGAAACAAAGCAAATAAATTGAATTCTATTTTATATTATTAAAATAAGCACACAGGAAGAAAAAAGAAGTGTACCTAACTTTTGAATACTTTTTGATTAAATACTTTGTCTAAAGGTACAAAAGAACTACAAAGAAATATCAAATTCTACTTAATTTTAGTGTTTGTGAGACTATAGGCATGGCAATTCTGAAATTATAAGGTCTGTATTATAAAATTAAGCAAGCAAGTAAATATACTGATGTCCTTACTGTGCGAGAAGTAAGGCATGAGGGAAGACCAACAAGAACTCTGTGATATGAGACTGGAAGTAGTGGTATCGGTAGAATTCATGCTGTATTTAGTTGTCTCCTGAAAGGCCCTAAAGCCATACCACCCTAGTAGCAACAAGTGCCCTGATTTCAAAATATGCTTCTCCTGCAAAGAAAATATGGTGCCTTTCAGAAATGGCTGATTCTAGAATTGGTACAGGAAGTACAGATAAATCTAAAACATTTTTGTTACATGAGGAGTAAGCAAGTGCTCAAGAAAATCGAAAAACTCACAGAAGACCGATGGGATATCCCCCTTGGTTACGTCTAGGATAGAAATTGATTATATAACCTTTTGAATTAAAAAAAGAGAATTCATTCGTTTATACTGATAATACAGATTCATAAATGATGGAGAAAGGAAACCTCTTCCTTATAATAAATGGCAATGGCAACTAATGTATTTGGAATTAAAGAGTTTAATAATATGCATCTCTCTGTACATAACTTACTAATTACACAAGGAAAACTAGTAGCAGGGGAAAAACATGACAGACACTATCTAATTAAATAATCAAAGCCAATATCACCAATAAGGGGAAAAACATACATTATGTGAACCCTGATTTGATGCAGAGGACAAAACACTTCTGTGGTTTTCCTATCAAAAATGCATAACCAAAATTTAAGCATCAGAAATAATTCAGCCAAATCCACATCGAACGACATTCTAC